TTCCTCTTCTCACCGAGGCTCCGGCTGAGGTGCGGACACACATCCACCCCATCATCTCTTTGTTTCACCATGACCCCTCCCAGGAGGATCTTGCTTCATACATAAGCATTGAGCGGCTTGTGGCTTACTCACCTCGAACAGGCACCCTGAGAGAAACTGCCTCACACATTCTTCCACAGATGTGTCCAAGGAAACTGCCTTATGCGGACTGGGGGCCTCCCTCCGTGTTACTAGTTGGGCATCACCGAGTCCTGAAAGCCACTCCAAATTGAGGTGCCCTAAACAAATAGCAGACATTGAATTCACTCACTAAACAGGCACAGTAGAGTGGAAATATTTTAATCTCTCCTTCTTTCTTCTCCTCTAAACCCTAGTACTAGTGATCTAAGCCATGAAGAGGAAATGTACTGTTTTCATGTCGGCAGGGATTCAGCAGGTTTGGGACTATTGATTAGGTGTTATTCCACAATAGCTTAGGAATGTGTAATGGGATACAATAATGACCTGCCACATTTATTGAGACTCCTTTTATGCCTCAGAATATACTATGTTTTGGGAGACATGCTCTCCCAAATTATAATAGGGCTCTATTTTTTTTTTTAATTTTTTCATGTGATGCTAAGGATAGAGGGCCTTGTGAATACTTAGTAAGCATCCTATCACTGAGATACATGCCTAGCCTGCTTTTACTTTCTACAAATCATATTTATTTTGTCTACATGTGTGTGCCCACACTCATGCCTTGGCTTGTGGTGGAAGTCTGAGGTCAACTTGTGGGAGTTGGTTCTCTCCACCACACGGGTGGGTCCCAAGGCTCCATCTCAGGTTGTCAGGGTTGGTGAAATGGCCTTAACTCAGATAGCAAGTTTCAGGCTATCCTGAGCTCCATGAAACCCTGCCTCCTCACCTCTCTCTGTTTTTACTTTTTGAGACAGAGGCTCATGAGGTTGCACAGGCAAGTCTTGAACTTGTGACCATCTTGATCAGCCTCCTGAGTAGTTCAAGACGGTGCTATTTATTATGCCTTCAAATGTGGTGAGGTTTTTGCAGTTTACTTTTCTTTAATCTAATCTGGCTACTAAATTGCAACACTGAGATTTGAACACAGGTCTTTCTTTTCTCTTTTTTTCTTTCCTTGTTATTTGTTTGTTTATTTATTTACAGGGTTTCTCTGTGTACCCCAGGCTCTCCTGGAACTTGATCTGTAGACCAGGCTGGCTTCAAACTCAGAGATCTGCTTGCCTTTGCCTCCTGAGTACTGGGATCAAAGGTGTGCGCCACCACTGCCTGACAGAACACCATAACCTCAGTCCTTAATTGTCTTATAAAAAGGAAGAAAAGGTTGTTCTTAAATCTTTTTCTAAAAAAAAAAATTATGTGTCTGAACGTTTTGCTTGTATGTATGTCTCTGTACCACATGCATGCCTGGTGCCCACAGAGACCACAGTTGTGAGCCACCATGTGGGTGCTGGGAATCCAGCCCAGGTCCTGTGAAAGAGCAGCCAGTGTTTCTAACCACTGAGCCACCTCTCTAGCCCTTGTTTTTAAATCTTAATGATTTGGAAAAAAAAATCTACTTATGGATCCTCTAATAAAAGTAATTATTTTGTTTCTGGGTAGAGTGAATTTTAATTGAATAATGTTCAAGAGTGGATAATATTATAATACTATGGTGAGTTGCCAAAAAGGATTATTTGGTAAAAAAAAAATTACTTTGCCACAAATTATGATTATATAAGTGATTAAATAGAGCATGGCTTCCTTTAGCATCCAATGTTTTGTTTTAGTATTGAGGCATGATGTGCTTAAGGCTGGGTTTTCTCTCCAGATACTTTCAATCACTACCTAGTAGACACAATATTAGGCAGCAGTGGGAAAAGACACAGGCTTAGATCTTTCCATGTTACAATATTGTTTGGAAAATTAACCTGAATCAAATGAAAACAGTATATAGTATTTTAACTGAAAACATATTAAGTTGACATTTTTACAACTAAAATGATCAACTATTGCCAATTTTATTTAGCTCAACTTTTTTTTTTTTAAATTTTACGCTCATAATCAATAGTAAGTAGATGGCAAGTGTCTTTAAATTGGGGTTTTGTTACTGCTGTGAGCAGAGTAAGTACTTAGGAAACTAGTCAGTGGCTGGAGGTGCAGTTCAGCGGCAGAGCACGTGCCTAGGCATGGACAAGGCTCTTGGTTCAGTCTCCATCCCTGAAACAGATGGGTGGGAGGATCGGGAGGAGACGGAAGAAGGGAGGGGAAGGAAGAGGAAGAGGATGACGAAGAGGAAGGAGAAGTAGTCTTCTTGAGTGAGTGATGTGGACAAGCAAATAGTCAGGAAGGTGTGGTGCAGCTGTAATATAGAACTTGGGAGACGGAGGCAGGAGGATTGTAAATAAATGAGAAGACCCAACCTTCCTCCAACCACAAGGTACCTTTTTGTTTAAGTTTAGAGTGGGAATAAGAAAAATAATACCACCATATACATGTTATCTTTAAATGACAAAACAATTTTTTTAAGTGAAAGCTCAAGAGTTTTGGAAATGTATGTTCACACTAAAGCTTATGCGTGAATGTTCACAAACAGTATACTTTATAAAAGTCCAAAAGGAGACATAACCTCAATTTCCAACAACTGATAAAAGGACAAATAAAATGTGGTACATCCATGCAATAGGATATTAGTCATAAGAAAGAGTAAGGCACTAATGTATGGGTCAACATGGATGAGCCATGAAGAGAGTGTGCTAAGTAAAAGACATGAGGTCATAGATTGTATTATCCATTCATATAAAATGGCCAGAATAGGCAAGTCAACAAAGATAGAAAATACATTGATAAACCAGGCAGTGGTGGCACACACCTTTATTCCCAGCACTCGGGAGGCAGAGGCAGAGGCTGGCGGATCTCTGTGAGTTTGAGGCCAGCCTGGTCTACAGAGTGAGTTCCAGGACAGCCAGGGCTACACAGAGAAATCCTGTCTCGAAAATACTAAAAACAAAGACCGGTAAAAAACCATTAATAGCATCAAGGGGTGGGGAGGAGAGATGAGGAAACAAGTATTAGGTCTCATTTTGGAATAACGAAAATGTTCTGGAATTAGAACATGGTGGCCATGGTTACACAACTTTGCTAAAAATTACTGCATGCATACTTTATTATTTTTTAATATTTTAATTAAAATATTTATTTTAAGCATATGGGCAATTTGCCTGCATGTTTGTTTATGCACCACTTGTGTGCCTCCTGCCCAAAGAGGCCAGAAGAGGGTTTCCTACTCCCCAGAACATGTCGTGCCAGAAATTGAACGAAAATCCAATAAAACAGTCACTGGTCTAACCACTGAGCAATCTTTCCAGCCTCTGAATGTACACTTTACAAGGACAAATTTTTGGTATGTGAACCAAGGATGGAACCCTAGGACCTCAAATATGGCAGGCAGGTGTTCTGGAGACTAAATTCACCCCAAAGTATTTATTTTTATGTAAAACAATTACAAAAAACCACCAACAAAAAAAACTTCCCATGAGGTCCTCTTCACAACAGGGCAAAATACATTATAATAGATGGTGTTCACAAACGATAGAGTATTAGGAAATGTTCCCTTGTTTAATTATAATCTGGGTTGGAATGTTTGGAGATTTTAGCAATCTGACAGCTAACATTAAGAGGATTAACCTGACTTCCTTACTGTTAATATCAATTTAATCTGCATCATTCAAAAACTACAGTCACACTGAAATAATTATAGCAATGATTTCATGAAAAATTACTAATTAGATTAACAATCCATTAAGGTTGTCATCGTTTAAATTTCTACTTCCTGAAGTACTGAACTGTGCCTTAAGATCTAATGTAAAGCAGAGTCACACCTCTAGCCACTTAATCAAAGGCAGAAAAGAGGATGGGCTAGGACGGAAATTTATTAGCAATGCAGACATTCAGGATTGGAACACAGGAGGAAGCAGGGCTTGGGAAATTTAAATCCTCATCTTCGATGCAGATACTTAAAGAACAAGAACTAAAATTTCTATATCGTAGTGTACAACTAATAAGAAACACAACACACACGCACACACATACACAACTCTGCATAGTTATGGGCAGAGTGTGAGTAAGAAAAAAAAAATACGGCACCTAGCCGCGAGAAAGATTTTGTTTTGGAGCCAAAAAAGAATACTGATATGGCTAAAAATCCTTATAAGAGTAGACTCGAGCCGGCGGTGGTGGCGCACGCCTTTAATCCCAGCACTCGGGAGGCAGAGCCAGGTGGATCTCTTTGAGTTCGAGGCCAGCCTGGACTACCAAGTGAGTTCCAGGAAAGGCGCAAAGCTACACAGAGAAACCCTGTCTCGAAAAACAAAAACAAAACAAAAAAAAAAAAAAAAAAAGAGTAGACTCGAGCACACCGTAACTGCACTTAGTGCGCGCATAGGCAGAGGACCCTTTGACTTGGTGACTGTGTGTGTAGAATCTACAGTAGTTCCTTTTTTTTTTTTTTCAATGTCCCCTTCATTTTAACCAGCTCAGAGGACGTTCTTTTCCTGAATCCACTGATTCCGAAGGGGCTAGTAATTAGCCCTTCTGAAAAATTTTCCAGTCTTTCATTGGAACAAGCACCTGGATACTGCTTTCCAATAAACCCTGAATCAAAACCTTGGCAGAGGGACTGCGAAGTGAGGCTAGCCTTTCCAATCTGCGCTCCCGGCACCCCAGGACCCTCTCTCCAGCAAAACAGCTCCCTGCAGCCCTCACTCAGCCTCTCCCGGAACCCGCGCGCCGCAGGGGCCCTAAAGCAGACCGATCTTCGAGCGCCCCCGAGGTGGTCCGGGATCACCCCCTTGTCTCCCCGATCCTGAGACCCTTCCCTCCCCAGGCCCCCGCCCCCTCCAAGCCAAAGTTGTCGCTGTTCCTTTAACTCCGCTTGCGCGGGAGGGTGAGCCCGGCCCGGTCCTCCCGCCTCCTTCCCCGCCGCTCCCTCCCTCCCCCTCCCATCGGAGTTTCAGGTGAATGGGTCACGGAGGGAGGAGGCCGGCCACGCCACACCTTGTCGCTCGTGCCCACCTCCCGCCCCCTCCTTCCTCAGGCGACGGCGGTGGAGGTGAAGGAGAGCGGTCCAGGGCACGAAGGAGCAGCCGGCCCCGGGCGCAGCAGGTGGGTCCCGAGCTCCTGATCCCCGCAGGCTCGGCCTGAAATTGGTGCGCATGCCCGGGGGCAGGGGGTGGGGGAGGACCGAGCTCCGGGCTCAGAGTGAAGCCGTCTGCTGGCAGCGCGCGCGCCGCCGCAGCAGGTGCCACCGCCAGGTGAGCGCTCGGGGTTCCAGCCGCCCAGGGGGGCCGGGCCTGGGCGAGCGGGTGCCGGGCAGGTGCGGCGCCGGGGGTCTCCTCGCCGAGGGCGACGGCGCGGCTGGGAGGCGAGGCGCGGGGAGGGCGCGCGGAGGTGGTTTCGGTGGCAGTTTCGCCCTGGACTTGGGGCTCGCGGGAACCCGAGAAGCGCAGGTGCTTGAGCACAGCGCGGAAGGATTTTGGGGGGCTCTCTCTGTCGCTCTCTCTCTCCGAGCTGCGGGCAAAACCTTCCCCACCACGAATGCCGGGGCAACTTTCTGCTTTTACAGAGGCGGGCGCCTCGTGGGCGCTGATCCAGCGCTCAGCTAGGGTGCTGGAGATCTGGGACCTCCCGGGGTCCCCTGTTAGGACTGGAGAGGGGCGACGCAGGATGACCTAGATCCCCGTGGCCCTCATGCTCTCCACCCCTTTGGGTAATTCATCCCAGGGGAGGGGGAGGCCAGGGGTCCTCTGCAGTGTCCCCAGAGTCTCGGCGTGTATCGCCCTGGCTGTTTGGAACTGGGGGCGGCGCGTGCGCCCTTGTTGATTTCAGCTCTCGGAGTTCTTTTCGAGGGAGGCTGGATTTCGAGGGAAGCAGCTCACGCTGTGGATTCTCAGCCGTGACCGCGAGCAGCTGACCAGCCCCGGGGCAGAACCTGCTCTGCCTCCCTGTCCTGGCCCGGCTGCTCCCGAGCGCACAGCAGCCTTGGGGCGCACGCATGGTCGCGGGGACCCGCAGCTTGCCTAGGCTGCCCACTTTGCAGACATCCCGGGCAAAGCTGGCCCGGCCAGTCCAGCAGCGAGCAGCCTGCGTTGGAGGAAGTATGCAGGGACAAGTGGGTGGGGACTAAAATGGCCTCTGCATCTTGGCGCTGGAACAACTCTGAGCCCCTTTTCTCCCAGGTGGAGTGACTGAACCCCAGCAGAAGCGGCAGTATCCTCCGGCCTGCCCGGGGCTCACCGGGCAGAGTGCCACTAGGGGAATTACCTGGGGCGGGGCGGAGGCAGCTTTCCAGGCAGGTTAGTAGTGTGTGGCTCTCGGGTACAACAGGTGTCTTATGGGGATCCCGGGAAAAAGAGAAATGCTTCCCAGTACGGCGCTTTCTGAGGTTGGTGGGTTGTTCATCCTCGAGTGTAACAGTAAGCAGTTCCTTTGCACCGTACGTATAAATCTTAAATTTCTACTGGTGGTGGTTTTCTCTTTTCGTTGGATTTATCTGCTTGTTAGTGCTTCCTTTGTTAAGTGATGGGATGGCGAGGTCGGAAAGCTAGGTTTGGTGTGGGGAGGCACACTCTACTTTCCGGCGGCTTCCAGGCAGCACCTCTCTGTAAGGGTCTCTGTTAATAGCAGATCCTACTAGGACTTTTATCTTAAAGGTTTGGGGTGTGGTGTGGTTCCGTGGTAGCCCAAGGCTGGAATCTCAGCAACAAACAAACCAACCAACAAAAACAAAAACAAACAAACCCAAAACAAAATGCCTCAAAAATTTACACCAGGCAGGATACAGAAAATTTAAGCCAGGCTGTAAGGACAATTTCACTGGAGAGAATTCCAGAGAAAATACCTACGATAGCGAGCCGAGGCACTTTTCAGTCCAGCGTTTGCACCACTTTTACTTCTAAAATGGATGTTTTTGTGTGTCCCTTGCACATTGAGCAAATTTGCACTTTGGGGAATACAGTTTAGGGCTCTGCTCTGCTGGGTAAGTGCCCTACAGCTCAGAGACGTACTCCCAACTCTCATGCAAACTTTTTAGTTTTTAATCTTTCTTGCCTGTTATTTGGAGCACCTAGTTACCTGGTTGTTCGTTTTTATTTTATTTTTTTTTTAATTTTTCCTTTTTCTTATTTTGAAGTACACTTGAGACTTGTAGTTTGGGACGGGGCCTTTTATTCTGCCTTTCTAACAAGCTCTCTAGCTTGTTCCTCCCCACCCCTTCCTTTATCTCAGAATGTAAGCATGGACTTTCAGCTAACCTCGGTTTGATGTATTTACTTAGCTTGTGTAGTTCAAGACATCCACTGCTCAATAAAGTGGAGCATCGGCTTTCTTAACCACATACTGATGGGGCATCCTTTTGTGCTGAGGACCAGCAAAGGGCTCAGGGAAGGTGACAGTGAAGGCATATATGAGTGTTTTCAGAGCTCTCATGGTCCACCTGGGATGGAGGGGTCAGACCTGAGGTCAGGTATGGAGGAAAATTCCTGAGTGGTCTGGAGAGCACCCCGAATTACATTTGAACTGCGAGCTGAACTTGGGGACTTGTGTGGCAACATGAAGATCCTCTTTGGGGGCAGGGCATAGTGTTGCAGAACTTGGGAGGCAGAGGCAGGTGGAGCTCTGTGAGTTCTAGGACAGCCAGTGCTAATTATACGATGAGATCCTATCTCAAGAAAGAAAAAAGAAAAGTTGAGTTTTGGGGCTGTAGAGGTGGCTCAGTGTTTAAGAACATGTGCTGCTCTTCTAGAGGACCCCGGTTCAATTCCCAGCAACCACGGCAGGCGGCTCACAGTTGCCTCCAGCTCCTGGAGGTCCAACTTCTCTGGCCTCTGTGGGCACCTGCACTCACATACACACACCTAAACACAGATACGTACCCATAACTAAAAATAATAAACGCAAATCTTAAAAAAAAACAAAAAACAAAAAACCAATCCTCTTTGGGATACTGACTGGGATGGCTGTGGGTAAAGGCACTAGCCGGCAAGCCTGATGACTTGACTTTGGTCCCTGAGCCCCACAGAGAAGGAATAGAATGCCAAGACATGTCCTCTGACCTCTTCACATGTCATGAGACATGAGTGTAAATTAATTAATACAAATAAAAAGATTAAAAAAAATCATCGTTGGGAGCTGGGGGTGTAACTCAATGGTAGAGTGCTTGATTTGCATGTATAATGTCCTAGGTTCAATCTTCAGGAAGGGGAAAAAAAATCCTACTTGGATTCCTTAATTATATATAGAGATCTTTTTTTCAAGTTTTTTTTAACTTTATGTATATGAATGTTTTGCCTGCATGCATATATGTGCATACACATGTTTGCCTGTTGAATCCCTGAAAGCAGTGGTTACTGACTGTTGTGAGCCACTGTGTGGGTTCTGGGAATTGAGCCCTGGTCTTCTGCAAGAGCAACAAGTGATTTTAACCTCAGAGCTCTCTCTTTCTAGACCTTACAGAGAGATTTTTATTTTATTACTTTAGATTTTGTTGTTGTTTTTGGGACAAGATCTCTCTGTTACATAGCTCTGGCTGTCCTGGATCTTGCTCTGTAAACCAGGCTGGTCTTGAACTCACAGAGATCCACCTGCCTCTGCCTCCCAAGTGCTGGGATTGAAGTCATACATTTAGCTTTAAAAAAAAAAATACATGCACACATGTGTACACACACACACACACACACACACACACACACACACACACACATTAATTGGAAATGCTGGTTTTCTGTGTAACACATTCTGTAAGGGTCTGTTATCTGCCTCTCCCCCATTAGTTATTTTAGCTGTGGTCGTCTGAGCCTGCTGATCTTTATGCTCTGGTGATGAAAGTGACCAGTGGACCCCTTAGGCCAAATCCTAGGGGCCTTTTCACTGCTCCGTTTGTCCCCCCCCCCCCCTTTCACAGAGATCCACCTGGCTCTGCCTCCCGAGTGCTGGGATTAAAGGCGTGCGCCACCACCGCCCAGCCTCCCCCCCCCCTTTCATTCAGCACATGCTTACTGTGGTGCCTGGCCTTGCTCTTTAGTGCTGGCTATGAGGCTTTGTCACTGACTTAGGGACCTTGAAGTGACATCTCTAAAGTAATACTAAGTAACTCCTGCCTGTGAGCAGGAGCTCAAATGGTTACTTTTTATTCCTGGAGGGGGTGGAGTCAGGCAGGGCCCTTGGGGGAAACTTCCCAAAGTTGAGATGAAATCTGACCCTGCGGTTTTGGGTGTTTTGTTTTGTTTTTGTTTTTAGCCATTCCTAGGACTACAAAGACAGTTCTTAAAATGTTTCAGGGCTTTAAGAGTAGTCTAAAAGGACATTAAAAACTGTCTAGTTCAAAAAACCAACCAACAAACAAAAAATCTGTCTAGTTCTCCAGGACAAGCTTTTCCTGTTATTTTCTTAAGACATGTTTGTTTGTTTTGCTGTGTTTTTTAAGATCCTGAACTGTTTTAGTTGCCCTCCTGGATCTGTACCCAGGGTGGAACCTGATGTGCGGATTCAGATTTTGTTTCTTTTCTTTTTCAGTGTTAGGGCTGGAGTCCAAGCCACTGAGCCCCAACCCCAGCCGTTGGTTCCTTTACAGCATTCCTGGATAGGAACACTCTTTCTGAGTGCTCTCTAAGATTTGGATAGCCTGTGCTAAAATTCTTAACACAGGAAATGTGCTTTTGGCGGGGGTGGGGTGGGGAATCCATCTCTAAGAATGAACATATGCCAAGTCGAATCCCCTTTATGCTGTATTCTCATGTGGATTTTTATGAATTAAGTTGTTGATTCACTTTCCCTGTCTTCTCTACCAATCTCAGCCTGTCAGTTTTCAGGGAAGCAGGCCGTCTGGGCTTCAGCAGCAGGTTGACTGTCTTTGTTTTATTAGTGCTAGGTGTTGAACTTGGGGCCTTATGATGGACTGCCACTGAGCTACACCCAAAGCCCGGAGTGTCCATTTCCAAGTGACTTATTCATGTCTCCAAACACCTGAGTGCCTGAGCTCTTGCTTACCTTACTCACCTTTCGGGGAAGGACTTCAGAGTATGAATGCATTTGCTTACTTTCTCTGCTTGTCCCAGCCAAGGTCAGGACTAGTCTCCCTTAAGTCACCGGAGCTGAGAGAACGTGAG